GTATTTAAAATATTTTTACCCCACCTTTCTCCTTTAAAAGGAACCAAGGCCACTTACAACATAAAAAGACAAAAATTAAAGTTGAAAACAATGAGTATACAACAGTGGTCAACACAATGAGTATACTGTACAATGGTTATCACCATTAAAAGACAATGTTTAAAGCTAAGAACATTTACTATAAAAAGACATCTTACATCATTGAAAGGCAATATAAATCTGGAGTGAGATGATCATTCTTCAGGTAAAACTAGTATGAGCTGGAAAAAATGCTTTTGAAAGACCTGGTGTTGGGCTCACAGACTAATTAAAGGTCTGTATAGATGATGAGGCACTAAGGGCAAGAACCTTGTGGCCCTTTCCTAGACTAATATGGTACAGTACTGCCATGTGTAATGCATTGCAGTAATCCAAAGGAGAGGTTCCTGAAGAATGCATCATTGAAACATGACTGTCTCCATCCATGTGGAAGCACACTTGGCATTTCAGTGAAAATTGACAGAATGTGCTCCAAACCACAGAGGCCGACTTGAGGGCACATAACAACATCAAATAATATATGGCTCACTAATACAGTATATGGTTTATTTATAGTTAGCGTGCATTGAAATGATAAATCAATGAAGAAAGAAAACAAAAATGAGATGTCAACCTAATGCATGAAAGAAAAAAGCTATAAAAGGTGAAATCTATCTAGCTTTGTCATTCGTCAGTCACCAGACCTTTCAGAAGTATTCAGACAGGCATAGAGGTTTTGTTGGACTTCAAGTGTGTATCTTGAATATAAGGTACTACTGCAAGGTTGCTGTAACAGGATTTTCTACAACTTTTTATAGTCTTCTAAGTGTCATGAAATGTGATTCTAAGTATATAGTGCACACATAAGGATAGTGAACTGGTGTGTTGTCGTGCCATATACAATGTACTTGATTCACAATCAAGCAGCTCCCTCATGCCCAGCCAGTCATATCCTTGTCTACAATACACCAGTGCTTTCCCATTCCTAACGTTTCCATTTCTCTTCCAAGACAATAGTCAATGGCCAGAATCCTGTTGTGTAGTGTAAACCCAAAATTGCATAGCCGATATGTGTAGTCATTTTGGCTTTTTGTCATACATTAATTTGTACATCTGAGCATGGGATAAATGATCAAAAAATTAACCAAAGTATTTGCACAATTTCCCTTGAAGCATGCAGCATTTTGCGACAGAATTCTACCCAAAAACGTTCAGAGCTTCCCACTTGTCTTTGGGGGTGCCTCCCTTAGTTTTTACTTTATCATGGTTGGTACCTCACACAAATATTTTGTTGTATATCTTCCCTCCTTGCTTGTAGCCCCCCTCCCGTCTTCTGTTTTTTGCTTTCCCTTTCCCTCCTCTGTGAGTCAACACAATTTTCCCTCTCTGCAGGTTGAAGCTTGAGCTGGCAGCTTGGCTGAACTTTCAGATCCAATCTTTGTTCCCCTGTCTTCCAATTGATCATACATGCACACAATCTTACTGGTTTAAGAGTGTTTTATTCCGTGTGAATTTATATACTTTTAATATTTTTTTCCTACTGTGGCAAATCTCGGCAAATTTAACACCTTCTTCTTCTTCCTGGGTGAATAACAATCAACACACAGCTCGAGTCTTGCTCTTGAAATAGACCATATGATAGTGTAGATAAGATTGATTTGATCAGGTATTCCCTTTATCACAGCAGTCTGGAACAGTATGAATATGTGTATATTTTAATTAATATAATACTGACACTCATTAGCATACGTTTATGGAGTTCCTGTATGCAAACTACTTTTATGTGTCAGAAGGAATTTGAGTTTTGATCAACAAATGTTGCTTCATGCTATTTGTTTTCCTGCTTTTAAAATTTTAAATATTTCTAATTTCTTTCCCCAAGGCATGTGACAGATTTTATTATACATGTTGTTGTTATTTGACGTCAAGACACTTCTGACTTATGAAAGACTTATGCCCTATGAAAAAGCAATCTCCAGTTTCCCTGATCAGCTATTGCAAATTCAAGCCTGTGGCTTCCTTTAGGGAACCAGTCTATCTTGTATTTGGTCCTCCTCTTTTCCTGCTGCCTTCTGTCTTTCCCAGCATTGTTGTCTTTTCTAGAGAATCTTGCCTTCTGATGGTGTGCCCAAAGTAGGGCAGTCTTCATTTCAACATTTTTGCCTCCAGAGATAGTTCAGGCTTGATTTGATCTAGGACCCACTTATTTGTCTTTCTTGTAGCCCAGGATATGTGCAAAGCTCTCCTCCAGCACCACATTTCAAACAAATCGATTTTTATATAAATATACTTCTAAAAATCTATAAATACTAATTAGCAAGGCAACATGCTACTCTAATCAAAAATATGAAAAGGAGCTTTCTAGGGCAACCTGCAAATTGCACAGAAGAAGGCCCCTAAGCGTGGCATCCCAAAGCTCATAAGTGAGGTGAAAGTCGCTCATTTAAATGTAAAGGCGCGGGAATTCAAAATATACACAATCTACTGGGATTTTGCCAAGCTGCTCCTACAAGTTTGTGTTTTCCCTTTATCAATAGTTTTACAATTTTCATTTCAGAAGAAGTCCAAGGTCCTACTGACAGTATTCAACATCTAGCAAAAAAATGAAATTAAATGCATGAACTGTACTGATATATGGCGAGGCAACAATGCGTGAGGAAATCACATTCTAGCAGAGAAGGGGAAAATAACAGTTGTGCAACAAGTTGAGTAAAATAGCAAGCAAAGTACAAGAAGTAACAATTAGAATATCCTGAATCTGGGTCCATCACCTACCACAAGTCATTAAAATCTGGTTTAACTCCACACACAGGAGCCATTATGCTGCAAACATTGTTCAGACTGAGGTCACACTTCTTTAATTCTTCCTTGCAGCTGTCCCTTGAGACATCCCACTCTAGGCCATTCCTGTAGCTTAATCTCAATCTGAAATTATTTGTAACAGCTGTTTATACAGGAATTACACAGGGTGGAGGAATATTTGGCCTTCCAGATATTTTGGACTTCAGATTCTTGCTGCAAGATGATGAGCAAAACTAATAGGAACAGAAGTCTGAAAACATTGGGAGGGCCAAAGTTTCCTTAGGTTTAGAGTGTAGTGATTACTCAGAACTCTCGCTGGTAATGTAGAAATAATAATGTATACTACAGTAGTAATACTACTCCTTGTCTTTACAGAAAGCTGTGAAAATTCCGAATAACCTAACTAAAGAGTATTGCTATCTTTGCTGGGCCAAATTGCTACCCAGATGTGGGTTTCAGCCTGTCAGCTAAAGACCAACACTTTGATACGGCAGAGCTCCCCTCATGTTTTATTTTGATCAGATATTAGATCTTCTGAAGAGACTGCAAGTACTGTAACACAAAAGTGCAGCTCCTCACAAGATATTGTCTCTTTGCCTTCTAGGAGTTTCCAAGTACTCGTTTTTCATGTGAGAAATTTGATCGTATATGTAACATGAGGATGAGGGCCTGAGTTTCTGCATGTATTAAGTGTCTGGCATAAGCATAATTCTTTTGTCTTGCCACCTGGCTTCAACTTAAAGACCTGATGAAAAGAGCCAGCAGGTTGCCTTGGCTAGTTTGTCAGGCCAGGGAGACCCAGATTTGTATCTGAACTTAGCTATGAGGCATAGAGTTGTCCTGCCTCTTCCTCTGTCAACCCAACCTCTCTCCTATATATGTTGTTATTATGTGCTGTCAAATCGCCTCCAACTCATAGCAACCCTAGGAATGAGCACTTCTAAATGTCTTATCCTCAGGCACCCTCCTCAGCTCTTGCAGACTCAAGGCTGTGGTCTATTTTAGGAAGTAATTCCATCTCATATTTGGTCTTCCTCTTTCCCAGCAGTATTGTCTTTTCCCGGGAATCCTGCCTTCTTATTATGTGCCCTAAGTCGAACAGCCCGTTTCAACACTTTTGCCTCCAGAGATAGTTCAGGCTTGATTTGATCTAGATCCCACTTGACTTTCGGGCAATCTGCAAAGCTCTCCTCCAGCACTATATTTCAAATGAATCATTTTTCCCCCATTCAGCTCTTAACTGTCCAGCTTTCACACCCATTAATGGTGATCAGAAATACAAGATTTTGAATGATCTTGGTCTTGGTCTCCAATGACACATCCTTACACTTAATTCCCTTTTTTAGTTCCTTGATCGCTGGAACTTCCTAGTCTCAGTCTTCTAATTTCTTGGCTGCGGCCTCCATTTAGATTGATGATTGAACCAAGGTATATGAAATCCACCCTCTCTGGGATGGGTTTAAATGAGCATTGAAGACTTTCAAGAAGCATTAAGATCTCAGCCTCCCTTTTACCATCCTTTTTGTCTTCCTCTCCATCACCCTTTTTACCACCTTTATTACCGTCTGTTTTAATTTACCCTGTTTGGCTTGTATTAATTTTTTTTAAATTATGTTTCAATATTGTTGTTTATATTGTTGTTAGCTGTCCAGAGTGGCCTGGTTGCCAGATTGTACGGAGTACAAATTAAATAAATAAATAAATATTAACTATTTCAGTTTCTTTATGATCTGTGTTAAAGATGTGTAGTTCTTCTGTAGTCATGATTTTTGTTTTCTTATCATCCAGCTGCAATCCTGCTTTGCCGCTTTCTTTTACTTTCCCTAAGAGTTGTTTTGTTTATATACATTGTATTGAACATAACAGTGTGCCATCAACTCAGTTCTGATCGCAACCCTTTTAAGGATTTTCTAGGTAGATAGTATATTCAGAAGCGTTCCCTTCTTCTGGGGGCATCCTGGGACTGGACAACTTGCCCAAGACCACATAGGCTGGCTCTCCTTCTGGGATACACAGCCAGGGAACGGAACTAACTCTTCAGCCAGATTCCCAATCCAGCCAGTGAATGCAACAATATATTTTGCTGAAGGGGACCCGAGTCCCACCTAATCCCAAAGCAACAAATGAATGAATGAATGAATGAATAATTAATTAATTAATTAAATGAACAGGGTGGGGGAGATGGAGGGAAGAACCAGCAGCAACGTTCTCTGGGTGGTGGATGAAAAGGTGAAGGGCAAGGACTCTGGTATGGAAAGCCGCCGGCCTTCTCCCGGGTCGCCCGTTGAGGAGGCATCTGAGGAAGGACATTCCCGCCTTCTGCCCCCATCGCTAGAGAAGGCGCCTTTCCTGCCCTTTTGTTCACCTCACGACACCTTACGTGTGAGGGAGGGCGGACAGGCAGGCGGCTGCTTCAACCACCGGCGTTGCCGCGGTTCTCCAGCCCAGATGACAGGGCGGGCGGCTTGTTTGGTTTCCCTCCGGGCTGTGGAGGAGGAGGAGGAGGAAGAGGCAGAAGGCGTCGGACTCTCTTCCTCCGTCCTGCTCCCTCTGGGGACCGAGAGCCGGCGGTGAAGGCGGCGTGCCTCGGCCCCTTTAAGGCTCCGGCTGGCGTAACGCGATCCCGCAGTGAATGCCTGTCACTGCCGCCGCAGTAGCAACAGCAGCGGCCGCCTCCGCCGGAGAGAAGCCGCTCCGTGTGGGCGTGAGGGGCTCTTCCCGCCGCCGTTGCAGGGGGTTGGCCGCGAAGGATGGGCGGAGGGACCGGCGAGCGGCGGCCGCGGCGAGCCTTCCTCAGGTGAGCGGCGGCGAGGGAGGAAGGAGAAGCGGCCGAGCCCTTCGGGGAGGGTTTCTCTTCCTCCTCCACCACCACCCCGCACGCTCGGGACGGGCAAGACCGGCGAGGGGAGCGCGTCACCCGGGCACGGAGGGAAGGGAGAGCGCGGTAGGCCCCTTTGGGCGCCTTTCCGGGGGGGGGGGGAGAGAGAGGATGCCCCTTTCTGTGGAGCCGCCCGGCGCTGCTGGCATTGTGGCGGGGCCGTGACGAGGCTCAACCGATCAAGCCTGGCGAAAGGCAAAAGGGGGGGGGGGAGAGAAGACGACGGAGGGGGCAAGGACTGGCGGAAGAGGTGAGGAAAATTTGGGGCTTTTGTTGTCCATAGGCGAGGGAAGGCGCCTCGATCTTCCACGCTACCAGATCGCCGAAGACTAAAACCTCGGCAGCTGCCGGCTGCACCCCCACACACACACACACCGCCCGCCTCCCTCCCCCTGGAAACAGGCGAAGGGAGACCTGTCCTGTCAGCTCCAGCTGCCGAAGTCTTAATCCACCCTGCGTGGACCAGAGCCTGTCAGGGGTGGTCGTCGTGGCGGGGATGGTCCTGGGTCGCAGCTCCTTCACCTTGTCTTTTCCCCCTGGGTCTTATTTCTTTCACCTCAGCCTCACCCAGTCAGAAATTATACGACTAGCCTTGTGAATTGGGAAGGAGGATGGGTTTTCCGGGGTGGGTTTTGTGTGTGTGTGTGTGTGTGTGTGTGTGTAGGTAGAGAGAGAGAGATAACGCCTCGTGGTTGGAGCTCGGTGTTGCCACGTCTTTGGCAGAAGTTAGGAGCAGGAGGCAAGAAAAGGCATCTGCTGGTGTTAAAGCAGCATCTGTGAGGGCAGGGAAGGAAGGAGCCTGGTTTTTGGGAGAGATGGCCATTGCTTTGGTCCACCTAGGGGGGGGGATTTGAACAGTGCTCATACTGTGCTGCTGTTTCCACAATGCTGTCCAGCACTTTTAAAATAATGAATTCAAAAACTGACCCTTAGCTTTTTAACAAACACTCCTAATGCTGTCCGGTGGGTTTATTTTTTTAAATTGTGAGAATAAACAGTAACATAGCAGCTCTCTGTGATATACATAGTAGATCTCTGCAACCAGAACTGGTGCCTGGCCAAGTAAATTAGCACTACTTATGTTTTACATTCTTAACTTCTTTGGTTTTCTGTGTGATGCCCATTATTATAGTGTTGTCTTTGTGTTCCAGTATTCCAGTATTCAGAAGATATTATTGCTTAGGTAGCTGAGTATTTTTTGTTGTTTTTCCCTACTAATTGCACCTGATTTCTTGAAGCAAATGTAGTATTTACCATTTCTGCAGTTTGTTTGAGACAATAGAACTACTCATCTCTCTTTCAGAACTGATGTTGTCCATAGTTCTTTTGCTCTTTATGTATAAAAACAACTTTTCCTCTATATGTGTATCTTCATTTTATACACACAGAGCAAAAGAACTATGAACTCTTTGTTCCAAAACAGAAATTACAACTCTTTTGGCTTAAACTGCAACAAATTAATAAAAAGCTTAAAGGTGTAACAGACAGCTATTTATATCTTTAACAGCATGTTTACACATTTTTTGTTGTTATGTGCCATCAAGTTGCCTGAATTATGGTGACCCTATGAATGAGCAATCTCCTTGACAGCCATGCTCAGCTCTTGTAAACTTAAGCCATTGACTTCCTTTCCGAAGTCAATATCACATATTAGGTCTTCTTCTCTTCCTGCTGCCTTCAACCTTTCCCAGCATTATTGTCTTTTCCAAAGAATTTTGCCTTCTCATGGTCTCCCAGAGTATGACAGCCTCAGTTTCACAGTTTTTGCCTCCAGAGAAAGTTCAGGCTTGATTTGTTGTAGGACCGACTTGTTCATCTTTTTCTAATTCTTTCATTGTTGTGCTTCTGAGACTCAATCTTCTTATTTCTTGGCTGCAGTCTCCATTTGGATTGATATTGAACCAAGAAATACAAAGTTTTAAAAAGTTCAAGTTCTTCATTGTTGGCATTAAAATTGGGTAGTTCTTCTGTAGATCTTTGTCTTCTTAATGTTTAACTGCAGTCCTATGTTTTCACTTTCTTATTTAACTTTCATCAGAAGTTGATTCCAGTCATTGCTGCTTTCTCCCAGTAAAATGCATGTCTTAAATTAGTGAAATGCTTTCCCACCTGGAAGTCTCATTTTCCAGCTCTATCTCTTATTTCATTTTAAATTGTCTCGTCATACTGTTTCATGGTAAAGAAAATTCAGTAGTGGTTTGCCGTTGTCACCTTCTGTGCAGTACTCACAAAAGTTAGCTTGAGTGCCATCACTCTTGCCTCCTCCACCAATGTCACCTTCAGCTATTGTTGCTGCCCAGCTGCAACCATTGGAACTATCTCTTTTCTTCTGCTGATGTAACTGTTACCCTTGAAGAGGGTGGATCCATCTCAGCTGTGACCACTCTGCCTTGAGTGATCCTGCTAGGAGTCCAGGCTCATAATGGAGTGTGGCCTCTTGATGACATTGTTCTCAGCTTCACTGACACACCCAGACCCCTTCACCATGTTAAGGTGTGCATCCAAGAAGGGGTTTACACATTTACTCAGTAGAAATCCCATTGGTTTCCATGGGGTTTATTCCTAGATAAGTATTCATAAGATAGCAATCTATCTTATCTCTTCTTTTCCTAGTGTCTGTCCCATCTTGTCCAAAGTTTTTCCCCTTATATAAAATTGTTTTTAATTATATTGTTATATTTTGTTGTAAGCTGCCTAGAGTGGTCTTAATTGACTAGATAGGCGGGATATAAATAAAATAAAATAAAATACAGTATTTATTTCATATTTTCTCTCCTAAGGTTTAAAATACACACAAAATATCCAATGCATTCTAACCGTGTTTTCTTTATGTATAGTACATATAGAATTTCTTATCAATGCAATGCTTTGAGAAGCTGAAATCATACCAATAAATAGGTGTTAGGAAATAGGGTAATTAAAAAAATTGATACAGCTTTAGGATGTGAATCATCTTCTGAATATGGACAAATTTGGATTAGAGCCATTAGAATGAAAGTTTTAACTGAATTCCTCTGTACTTGGAGAGAAGATGGCGGTCCCCCAAAAAACTAATATCAAATTAGTCTTAATTACCCTATTTCCTAACAACTATTCATTGGTATTATTTCATCTTCCGCAAACGTACATATGTGTGCATGTGTGTAAGTAAGATATAGGTAT